CCCCAGTACCCCCAGTACTGAGAGTACTTGGAGGTCCTGGAGGGTACTGATGGGTAGTGAGGGGTAGTGCTGGGTACCTCAGGGTACTTCAGGGTATTGGGAGATACTTGAGGTTACTTTGAGGTACTGCGGGGCACTACGAGTACTGTACACTCCCCCAGTTCTGCCCAGTACCTGCAGTATTCCACAGTACCCAAGTAGTTACCTCCCAGTAACCCCATAGTGTACCCTGCAGTACTCCGCAGTACTTTACAGTACCCCACAGAACCCCACATTACTCGACAGTACCCCGCATCACTCAGCAGTCAGCAGTACTCTGCAGTACTCCGCAGGTCTTGTAGTATCCTGCAGTACCCCCACATTACCTTGTAATACCTCCCAGTACCCAGCAGTAACCCACAGTTCCCGGCAGTATTTCACATTATCCCGCGGTGTCTCACAGTACTAGTACTTTTCATAAAACAGGTTTGGGGATTAATTGGTAAAGTTGCCATCCCTCCCTCCGGTATATAATTCACCAAAACCATACTGCAGTCCTTCAATTATCATACAGGGAAATTTTCATCTTTCTAAATATCCCAGGGAAAGATTTTACACCTTCTTTTTTTTTAGCAATAACAGAATAAGCAACTTTAAACAAAAAGTAGTCATTTTGAGATATTTCAAACCAGTTTTGTAAAAAAAATCGTGCGAATTTATACGATCGACGGTTAATAAAGGGGGGAGAAGAACCACTTCCCCCCTTCCTATATCTATAATCTGTGTTCTCACCTGGACCCGCCCTCCTTGAGGTTGATGAAGCTGCAGAAGCAGTAGGTGACCCCCACCTAGTTAATTTCCTGGTTTACAGGGATAATCTTTAAACTAGTGAACAATCCCTTTAAATTCCTTTAATTACTTGTCAGCTGTGTTTGTTCATGATAATAAATACTATACAGTAATAAATCACGGGGTCAATAATATCCTAGTCTTACACAAACTAAATGTTTTACAACTCATGAGACTTAAACTTTGAAGGAATACTTTTTAATTTTTGGAAATTTTTCTAGTGTTTTATTAGATCTTTCAAATAGATTCTAGTACAATAGATGGCAGCGTAGAATTTGTACACTCTCAGTACAGTTGTATTCTGACGTCACAAGTGTCAATTCAGTTTTTGTGTCCGACAAAATTATAAATAATAGTGATAATTTTAGAATAAAGTGCTTATCTTACAGTAAAATAAGTGCAATTTTATGTGTTTTTTAGTTTCTGTTTTACATTTTTTTTATTCAATCTTGGAAGACATGCCAACTAAAGTTAGACAATTTCGTTTTCCTTGTTATATTTGACAATTGTGACGTTGTATAATTGGTTCATTTCTCTGTTGCCACCTATTGTACTTGATAATCTATTTGGATTTTTTTAGTTTAATTTTACAAGGAATAATCCTGAAGGGGGCCCTCTCAGGTTACAGGGTAACTCACAAAGGAATAGACTTCAAATATGACTGTCTGAATTTTTTCTTTGATTCATGATTTCATCCAGATGCAAACTTGGTACTTTCTTTGTCAAATCATTTAATAAGCCATTAAAAGGCTTTATTTAAGGCATAAAACTTAATTTGACCTAGGAATCGTCATAGTGTTATAGTTTCAGGTGTCTTAGTGAAAATGAAAGACAAAACCAGAATGTCCAGTGATCCTTTGAATCTGAAGTTACCTGTTGTGCACACCGAAATACGAAGAAATTTCTTTAGTGCAAGAGTTATAAATATGTGGAATGATATTCCATATGAAATCAAACCTGAACATTTTCTAAAACATGCTCAATAACTGGCTGAATTCCTGAACGGCCAATGAAGTCGGAAAAGAGATGTTTTAAATTATCACACCCGTGATATATAAACATAATCACACCAATTGAACCAAGTAAACCAATTAGTCTCATCTTTTGTGGGTAACCCTATATGTTAATTGAGAACGATGACTTTCTATTTAGAAATTTAGAAATTTAGGATTTTGTATACCATGACAAAATACAAAATTACATAGGAATTTTACAAAAACAAATGTTGATTTTAGGAAAACAAAATTTTTTTATATGGAGTCTATATTGGAGACAACCATACGATATTCACAACTTTGATCTAAAAAAATTAATCCCAGCTCTTCTTTACGGCAACAAATTAGCTGGTTTTATTCTTTTAAGAAGAAAAAAATAATGATATCTTAGTCATAAATATACAGGTAAAGAAGTGTTGCAGAAGTTTAAATAGCCGAGAGAGGGTTTATCAAAATTACGTTGCTAATCCCTCTCAATGATATATAAAGCAAATACTAATAGTGAAAGGTACAATTCGCACCTGATGCTTGTAAACTACGTCAGAAACAAAAATATATTATAATTGTACTTCAAGGATAAGAATGGAAAACCTTATTGGAAAATTTGACTGACAACTTGATTATATAGCTTGCAAGAACGGGGGAAGGCAGGCGGCTATCAGCTACAACATTTTCTCCTTCCATATATTATCTTTTTTGTCTTCCGGCAGCCATAAGCCACAACCGCACGGTCTTCCATGCCACAGCATTTGAGTCTTCCGGCAGTTATTAAGTTTATTAAATTATTGAAATTGCAATTTTAAAAATCCTGCCACTTTACGTTAAAGATGAGACCTATAAGAAATATTAGAAGTTTTTTGAAGATCAATGAATTGTGTGTTTAATTTATAAACTGCTTTACATTTTACAAAATAAATTTTACATCATTTTATACATTGTGTGCACCGAGACAAATTGTTTGGGGTAGTCTAAAGACGAAGATGAGAAAAATCACAATATTAACTGTCATTACCTGAGCGTTACATATTTCCACACACAAAAATTACTGTTTGCTATTTTCTCGTTAAATAGTGCAAATTGTCGGTTATGGGCGCCCTTTGAACTTTAAGAGTATCTTATGGTGCATCATAATACTTTCATAAATAAGCATTTTAGAGGAAAGTTTGAATATATCTTTGGGGAAAATAGCAGTTTACATGAAAAGAAATCGTCATTATTTCAATTTAAAACTTAAATGTAAAGTTCTTTATATATATCTTTTGCATGACGTCGCTGGATTTTTGAAAATCACAATTTCAATTCACTAAATTTTTCATTTAAAACGTAGTAACTGCCGGAAGACTCAAATGCTGTGGCATGGAAGACCACTGTTGTGGCTCATAGCTGGCGGAAGACAAAAAAACTAATATGTGGCATGGAAGGGAAAAATGTTGTGGCTTATGGCCGCCGGTCTTCCCCCGCTCCTTGCGCATAACCGAGACAGAACTGTTATTGGGACATGTCATCAGTTTTTAAAGAGATTTTTAGTTTTAGAGTCATAAAAAACAGTAGGTGTTAAAATCGTGCAAATACGGCGGACCATGCATACTGCATCATCTTTAAAAAAATTCCAACTTTTTAAATTACGTGTTGAAACTGATTTAAAAAAATGACAGAAAAAAATTTATGTTTGTTTAACTGACTCCGCTAATCAGTAGTCCCCCCACCTGTGTAAATTATAAACAAGAAGCTGCAACTTAAAACATTTACGGAGAGGGGGGGAGGGGGGGGGGGATTAAAAAAATAGTTTGATAAAACTATAAGATTGTTTTCGGGAATATGTTCGTTAAATACTCTTCTATAATTTTCCAATAAAATATTTTTGTTATATATTTTTGTGACGGCATCTTCTGTACTCTATCAAATGTCTATACGCGTAGACGATAAGATAATTGAAAATTGAACACGGATTCAGATATTATTCGATCCTCGTGTGAAACTAAACTAAAATAATTCGAGAAAATAATTATTCTATTAAAACCATTAAATGTAAGAAAACTGTAAGTGTAATGTTTAAGTGACCCTTCATACAAAGATGAGAATGCCCGATTCACAACAGTAACCTTAAAAGCTTAGTCTGATCAAGTATGAAATAGATATCAATGTTTATCATTTTGAAAAATGTCTATTTTCAATTGTTGTGGGTTCTCTACAAAAGTGACTTGCGCATTTTAAGTACAGAAAAATATTCAGGAATTATAAAAATTAAACACTGTAAAACCAAGGAAAACAACATTATTTATCAGATAAAGGTTGTAAGGATATCCGTTGTGCAATTCGGGCATTGCCGTTTTTGCTCGCATGCTAACTTGAACTTGCGCTTACAGTCATTTTTTAGTAAATTTATGTCAATTAAATATTTATGAAGTAAACAAATTAAAAATAAGTGAAATGGGTCCAACTACTAGACAACTATTGTGTTCACAATCATAAATGGAGTCTTACAGTCGTCTCTTAGTCCACAGTTTTATGTGTAGACAACTGTATTTGTAGACAACTGTATTTGTAGACAACTGTATTTGTAGACAACTGAAATTGTAGACAACTGTATTTGTAGACAACTGTATTTGTAGACAACTGTATTTGTAGAGAACTGTATTTGTAGACAACTTTATTCGTAGACAACTGTATTTGTAGACAACTGCATTTGTAGACAACTGCATTTGTAGACAACTATATTAAGGAGATATACTTGTTTTTCCATCTAATAGGGGAAAGGGGTTCTCCAAGAAATAAACTTGCGGAATCTTGCTGTAGAACCAAGGAGGAAAAACACTTTTTCAAAACTACAATTTCTTTCCCACATTTTTGATCAGAATAAGGTTTAAACAGTGTCACTGTGAATCGGCCACACACAGCTTAAATTGGAGATCAACGAATTGGAGATTAACGAATTGGAGATTAACAAATTAGAGATCCATAAATTAGAGATCCACGAATTGGAGATCAACGAATTGGAGATCATCGAATTGGAGATCAATGAATTGGAGATCAATGAATTGGAGATCAACGAATTGGAGAACGTCTTGAACTACAGTCACCTAGTAACATTCTGTTCATACAAAATGTAATTTACAAAATGTAATTTCTGGTTTTGATGTAGGTACAGTTGTCAGCGTTGATATCAATAAAATAAAGACGACTTTCCGATTTCAATTTCGTTTTAAGTACTTTTTTAATTACAGGTTTAAAATGGAGAGGACATTGTTCCTTGGAGCCCTCGGTATTCTCATTTCAGGCATAGGTAAGTAATCATATTTTTATTTCATTCAGAACTCATCTTGGAGTTCTTTTCGTTTGTTTAACTTCACTTTTAAACAAAAAAAGATATACTAATATCTCATTATAAAATATAAATGCTTTGTAATGTAAATACAGGAGATATTAGTTCCAAATCTAACACTTGGCCCATTTCTAACACTGAGTGTTAGAAATGGGCCAAATCTAGTTATCTTTTTCAAGAGTATATATCTTTAAATCCAAGACGAGTAGAACAAAATTACACCATATTTTTTGTAAAAAATGGCTAAAACTATATATTGAAACAATCAAGGTAAATTTTAAACTAATAATATGGTGTGATAATTAATTTTTAATGATTCTTGATTTCCTTTTCGAACATATCCCTATTTTGAAACAATTACAAAATTTCAGCTCATGTCGCGTTTTCGGAACATATCCTTGTTCTTTTATAATTTAAAAATCATTACAGCATTTTGAAATGAAAATATTAATATCATTTGTTTAACAATATAGATTTAGCTAGAAATGTGGGAAACTGTTTGTTTAAAATGCAATGCTTGAAAATAAATCCTCGATATTCTCTAATTTAATAAAATGTGGAAACTTAGATTCTAGAAATAATTCAGAAGTTAATTTAGTCTTAATAGGATCATTTTTGTTTTCAGTGATTTATTTTGTAAGTTATGAAAGTGAGTTTTGTTTTGAATTGTGGATTATACTCAAAAACGGGAAAGTGGATTTTGTCTCGAAAACGCGACAATGTTTCAAACAAGGATATGTTCGAAAATGGAAAACCTAATATTGTCTTGAAAACGGTCAAGATCTTTAATATAAAAGAACTCGTATTATAATTTTGATTTTAAAAAAGTTTAAAATTGGGAATTGTTGTCATCGTCATGTTTAATGAAATGTTGGTTATAGTTTGTATTATCAACTTTTACTCTGGATATGGGCCGGGATCCCAAAAACCCGTGGATTTTCAAAGTTTTACAAAAATAATTTTTTTTTTGGAGACAATTTTTTTTAACTTCTGAGCATTCATAAACCTTGCCTAGGGTCATCTGAGGTCCCGCAAAAAAATTGGGCCCAATCGGTTTTGCTGTTTTGTCATTTATTGTATACAAACTTACATACAAGAAAAGTATATTTAAAGATTGTCTTATCTAAAATTGTATATTCAGGGTTGGTATCAGGAGATTGTATATGGAATTCCACTTGTGGATGTAACCCAGACTTTGCAGATACAGGTAAAAACATGTTAACACATACCCTCTAGTGTCAAAATAGACCTATAATTCGCCAAAATAATCCATGATCCCCAGCCTTCCAGGATGTTTTGAAATAATCTGGTGTTATGTTAGACATTACAGGCATACATAAACATTTAATAGTCTAAAGGATAAAAGAGGTGAGCATTATCCTCTTGTTGTGGACATCTGTGGATAATGATGGATGCTCCTGGACATGTTCTTGTTAACTAAAACATTATAGGATAGAATTATAGAAAGCACGTAGGTGATGGACCCTTAGTGCAAGTTAAAAAAAAGTTTATTAACCCTGTTCCTGTGTGGGGAATCCCCCCCCCTTTAGTTTTTTTTACATAAGTATTGGTCTGGGGCTGTTGAAATTTGCTGACTTTTCCTAAATACCCAGAGCCCTCCCTTTAGGTCTAAAACCGGGCCTGAATGACTACTTTTCTTGTAACAAACTAAATCTTTGTTTTGACCCACTTCCAGTTGTCAGATTTTAACAATTTTTAGCTTTTCAAAAGCTTATGCCATAAGGAAATGGATTTCAAAAGTTTTGCAAAGATATTTTTGCAAATTATTTGTATACAACCTGTCAAAAGAAATTTGCACATTTTTAGTTTTCTTAATTACACAATAGGTTATTTAAATTTTTGCAAAAAATTTTGCAGACTTGAAGTGGCATGGAGCTTTTCAAAAGTGTATATTTTATCATTTTTTGAACATTTTTTTTTGCAAACATTTTATTAAAAAACTGGATTTTGCAAAATAAATTACAATTTTTGAAAATTTGCCATTTTTTCAGATTCTAAAAGTAGAGCATAAAAGCTTTCCAATGATGTATCATTTTTCATATTTGGACATCAAGCATAGGATTTAGATGGGGGGTCAATTTCCTGGTTTTCAAGTACCCTAGCAGGGATAGGGTTAACAATCACTGTCGACTGGGTTTAAACTGTATAAAGCTCAACTGTAGATATGATGGAGCTAATTGGCTATTTCGAAGGAATTTACTAATTCTATTATACTATAGGTCCCAACTGTATGATGCTTAACTGTAGATATAATATTTCGAAGGAATTTACTAATTTGATTATACTATAGGTCCCAACTGTATGAAGCTAAACTGTAGATATGATGGACCCTCGTGGACTGCAGAACAGGAACACTTACAGCTTATTAGAGAAGTGTGTCCACATCTTGAAGAGGTATAGAATATAGTTTTATAATGGAATAGAATATTGTTCATATTATTATATATATTATTGAACAAGACAACATACACTAAATCACACTGTTTTTACAAACTCAGTATAAATAAAAAATGTTCCTTATCATATTGTATAAATGATTTTGTTAAAGGAACCTTTTATACTATTTATGCTTTTCAGGAAATCTCTGGAGATGGTATTTGCTGCAGTGTTGAACAACTAGAACTTTTGAAAGTAAACTTTGTAGCTCCTGCACAACTTTTTAAAAATAGTTGTCCAACATGCTACTTTAACTTTGTGAAAAACTTTTGTGACTTGACATGTTCACCGCACCAGTCTGAGTTTCTGAAAGTGGAAAAGTATGTGACGGGACCAGGATCAGGGGATTATGAAAACATGACAATGGAAATGGTGAGCAGTGTACTTTATCATGTACATAAGGAATTCAATGAAGCAACCTTTGACAGTTGCAAAAATGTACAATTTCCTGGATTGTCTGGCACTGTCATGGTAGTTGCATGTGGCCCATGGGGTGAAGACTATTGTACTGCGGAAAGGTGGTGGAATTATCTAGGAACAACTGAAAATGGATACTCTCCTTTCGATATCAGTTATGAATACGGTGATACTACAACCTCAGAAACAGGATTCACATATCACAACCAGCTTGTCACATCCTGTAAAGATCCACCACCATTCAATGACGGTTTAGCAAGTTATGCAGGCTGCAAGTGCGTTGACTGTGAGGATGCTTGTAGTGGCTCATTGGATGAACCCAAACTTGAACCTGTTGAAACTGATTTTCTTATCAGTGGGATGGATGGAATGACAGTGATTGCAGTGGCCATTTTTACCAGCATTACTCTTATATTTATTTCCATACAATTGCGCTGGGTCGGAGATGCATTCCTTAATGCAATTTCCACTTTTTTCACTTGGTGGGGGAAAATAGCTTCAACATATCCTAAAACTGTAATTGGATGCTCATTATTTATTGCTATTGGTCTCTCAATAGGAATCGTAAATTTAGAAGTAACAACTGATCCAATAGAATTATGGGCATCCCCACTCTCCCGGTCCAGAGTTGAAAAGGATTTCTTTGATTCTGAATTTCGTCCCTTCTACAGAACTGCACAAGTCATTATAAAATCAATTGAAAGTCCAGAAAATGAAATTACACAGTTTAGCTATACTGATGTCTATGGGGAAAATAAAACATATGGACCTGTGTTCAATAAGAAATTTCTCCTTGATGTGCTGACCTTACAAGAAAAAATTCAAAACTTAACTTTTTCATACAAGAATGAAACATTATCACTTGTAGATGTTTGCAACCAACCATTAGGAATAGGTTGCAACATTCAAAACATTTGGGGGTATTGGCAAGATTCTGCAGATCTGCTAGAAATAGAAGCAAATGTTAGTGGCGGCCTCTACACGTACCTGGACCATTTCTTAGATTGTAGTAACAATCCAGCTCTACCCTTTGATGCAGCAAATACTCCTTGCATGTCAACCTGGGGTGGACCAGTTAGTCCTTACTATATATTAGGAGGATTCATTCCCAATGGAAATACAGGATTTCCGAAAAATCCAAAGTACTATGAATCTACAGCACTTGTGATGACAATCATTCTAGACAACTATGATACTAAAAGTACAGATCTTGATGATATCACTAGTCTTGAAAAAGCTATGGCATGGGAAGAGGTCTTCATAGATTTTATGAAGGATTGGGAATCAAATGAAATGCCAAGAGAGTACATGGAAATAGCATTTAATTCAGAAAGAAGCATTGAGGATGAATTGAACAGAGAAACCTATGGTGATCTGGCAACAATTGCAATATCCTACATTCTCATGTTTCTTTACATAACAATATCCCTTGGTCAGTACAACACGGCATCAGTTTCAGGACTAATGTTCGAAAGCAAGATAACATTGGGACTTTTTGGAGTGATGATTGTTTTGCTTTCTGTATCTGCATCAGTTGGAATTTTTGGAATGATTGGCATACCAGCAACTCTCATTATTTTTGAAATTATTCCATTCCTTGTCCTAGCAGTTGGTGTGGATAACATTTTCATTCTTGTTCAGTCCTATCAGAGAAGTACAAGAAAGGATTATGAGAGCCATGCAGAACATGTTGGAAGAATTGTTGGGGAAATTGCACCATCGATGCTGCTAAGCTCAGTCTCAGAATCAACATGTTTCTTTTTGGGATCTTTATCAGACATGCCAGCTGTGAGAGCATTTGCCTTGTATGCAGGAATGGCCTTATTAATTGACTTTTTCATGCAAATTACATGTTTTGTGGCGCTCATTTCTTTAGACATGGAACGCCAGGAAAATACCAAAAAATATAAACTTTGTTGTTTAAAACCATACCATGTTGGAGACTCAAAGAAGAAAGATAATGGATCACTGTATTGGTTTTTTCAACATTTATACGCTCCAATGCTCATGAAGATATGGATAAGAAATATTGTTATGATTGTCTTTATTGGATTTTTTTGTACCTCATTGGCTGTAGGTTCAAAAGTGGAAGTTGGCTTGGATCAAGAAGTCTCAATGCCTGAAGACTCATTTGTCCTTAAATATTTTCTTTTTCTGAAGGATTATCTTTCTGTTGGACCACCAGTTTATTTTGTTGTCAACAACACTAATGGGGCTCTAGACTTCTCAAAGCCAGAAGATCAAAATAAACTTTGCATGGGCCATGCTAGGTGCAATGAAGTCTCACTTGGAACGCTAGCACATTCATGGGCTAAAATACCAGAGGAATCCTTTCTTGCAACATCTGCTATGAACTGGGTAGATAATTATATTAGTTGGGTGTCTGATCCAGCTTGCTGTAGATATTTTGATCATGTAGCCATTAACACATCAACTCCCAAGATTCCGTGTCCATCAGAAGAAGATACAGAAATTTGTCTTCCTTGTGAAATTTCAACAGAACCATCAGAAAAAGATTTCCAAGAAACAATTGGATGGTTTCTGGATGCGAATCCAATTGAAGACTGTCCAAGTGGCGGGCATGCAGCCTTTGGTGATGGGGTTCAGATTGTAGAGATTTATGAAAATCAATTAAATTTTACTACTGGATATGATCAACCAAGGTATGAGGTGGTGCACTCAAACATGATGGCCTTCCACACTATTCTAAAGACCAGCAAAGATTACTATTCTGCCTTGATAAGAGCTAGAGAACTCTCAGCTCAAATGACCGAAGTCATGAACGATGGACAAGATCCTGAAAATCATGTCACTGTTTTCCCGTACTCCATCTTTTATGTGTTTTATGAACAATATCTTACTATGTGGGAAGATACCATGCAGTCACTGGTTATATCCCTTGGAGCCATTTTCATTGTGACCTTTATATTGATGGGATTTGATCTTATCTCCTCTGTTATCATCATCATTACAATATTCTTCATCCTTGTCAATCTTATCGGGGTTATGTACTGGTGGCATATCACCCTGAATGCAGTGTCTCTCGTGAATCTAGTGATGGCTGTTGGAATCAGTGTCGAGTTTTGCAGTCATATCACAAGAACCTTTGCCATGGAGCCTGGTGCAGACAAGGTTAAACGTGCTGAAGCTGCTTTGATAAAGATGGGCAGTTCAGTTCTTTCAGGAATAACTTTAACTAAATTTTCTGGAATAATCGTGCTGGGCTTTGCAAAGTCTCAAATTTTCACAATTTTTTACTTCAGGTGAGAACAACTTTTTTATGCTTGAATAGTCTGATATTTTTATTTTTATGATGCAATAGTCTGATTTTTCATTTTTATGGTGGAATAGTCTGATTTTTTATTTTTATGGTAAAAAAAGTCTGATTTTTCAATATTTTCTATCTGTTTAGAATGTACCTTTCTATTGTTCTAATTGGTGCAGCACATGGCCTGATTTTCCTTCCTGTTGTCCTATCATATTTTGGCCCTGAGGAAAGGGAGCATATGACCAAACGAAAACATCTCAACAAAGTGTAGGCAGAAAGTTCTATGTTTAAGATTTTCTAATATAAAGTTGCTAGAAATCATTATTTATATGTACTTTATGTAAATAAAAAGATATCAATTAATGTGCGTTGCAAGAAATCTCAGTTTCCCAGAAAGATAAGGAATCGGTAGAGGGATTTTAATTTAAAGCTGATTCACAACCTTCCTCAAAGCAAAACTCTGTTTTCATCATAAAGACGTAACTAGCAGGACAAACAAAGGAAAATTGTTAGAATTACTTCTTTTTAAAACTAAATATTTATATTTTCTGTTTCTTAATTACATGTATGTTTTTTAATCTTTGTGACAGAAACAATCTCAAGAACTGACGAGAGTCAACCCAGACCGAAATATATTTTCAATAATGTGGAACTAACATCTACTTTTCTTACTCTATAGAGGTTGGGTCCATCACCATCACCGAATTTTAAATCTTAATTACATGTTTACAATTGTGTCATATAATTGATATTACATTTATCACATTAGATGGGTTACGGAAATAGGTTTTAAATATTTTTTTGAAAAAATGAATTATTGTTAAATTCGGATAGAAAAGAAAAAAACATCACGGAATATAACATGTTACAGTTAAGGGTGGCATGTATCGAACATGCTAATAAAAAACATTCCAAAAATTCTATAAATTATATTTAGGACGACATTACAGAAACATATTTTGAGACTTGATAATTTGAAATATGAGGAAGAATATCGCATGTAAATATTTTTAAAACATGCTAATTTTTCGAAAATGTTTTTAATGAAAACATTCCGAAACTTCTTATATTCTTTATATTTAGGAAAATGCTTATATAAAACATTCCTAAAATTCTATACTTTATATTTACGAAAATGCATATAAAAAACATTCCGAAAATTCTAAAAATTATATTTAGGACGACATTACAGAAACATATTTTGAGACATGATAATTTGAAATATGAGAAAGAATATCGCATGTAAATATTTTTAAAACAAGCTAATGTTTTGAAAAGAAAACATTTAAAGAAAACATTCCGAAAATTTTATACTTTATATTTAGGAAAATACTTATAAAAAACATTCCGAAAAAGAAATTGTTTCTTAAAGAAAACATTCCGCAACTTCTTTTATACTTTATATTTAGGAAAATGCTAATAAAAAAATTCCGAAAAAGAATTTATTTCTTATTGTTTCTCTTATAAAGGTGAGAGCGTTCTTGAAATTATGTTTACAGTCCCTTTAAGGAGAAAATATTCAGTTCAAATTACAGATGTAATCTTTGAAAAATTACGAAATGTAGAATGAGACATTTTTTAAAAAGTTTATTTATTAAACATTAAGGAAAGGACTTGTTTGATTTGAATAAGAAAAACCTACAAGATTTAATTTTAAGATGTCATGCACTTAGAATTTTAAAATAAGAAAAATATAGAAATATCAATCATATCAATCCTAAAAAGTTTCATTAAATAAAAAAGTAAGCTTTGTTTGTGAATAAATGTGCATTACAAACCAGAAAACATACACAACGCGCCAATATACTTCTTAAGAAAGCTAAATTTTTGAGTTAGTTATGATTTTGAAACTTAAAGAAAACTTATCTTTTTAAATTCAAGAATAATTTCTTTTAAATATGAAAAATATATAAAAACGAAACTTCCCTATTCGGGTTGTTTGAAAAATATTTTAATTTGCAAAATTGACGAAATATGTTTGTCAACTGAAAGTTTTATTTTAAACTCAAAAATATTTGACTATCTATTATTGTGTGCAATCTGTAACGCAATAAAAGGCAAGGGATTATACAAAATAAGCGAATTTTTTTTGCCCCCCCCCCCTACGAGATCCTAAGGGGGGGGCCAAATTTGAACTGTAAATTAAAAACATTTGGCTTCTTGGATACTTTAAAGGTACACATACAGTCCAATTACCTTTCAAGTACTACTTTATCTCTCCTTCCAACAAAACTAGCAGAAAAAAACAGCAAACTGATTGTTTTATGTTCTTTACTCTTCAGTTTCAGATTTGAAAATTGTGACAGCTCTGTGTTCTAGGGGGTGGATACGCCCCCCTTACAGGTCTAGGGGGCCCTGCCCCCCCTCCCCACTGCAAGGTCCTAGATATAAGGGCATATGATTAATCTGCAGATCCAAGCTCCCTTAAACTCCTGGGTATCAAGTAAATTCATCTGCAGATCCAAGCTCCCTTAAACTCCTGGGATATCAAGTAAATTCATCTGCAGGTCCAAGCTCCCTTAAACTCCTGGGTATCAAGTAAATTAATCTGCAGATCCAAGCTCCCTTAAACCCCTGGGATATTGAGTAAATTAATCTGCAGATCCAAGCTCCCTTAAACTCCTGGGATATCAAGTAAATTAATCTGCAGATCCAAGCTCCCTTAAACCCCTGGGACATCAAGTGAATTAATCTGCAGATCCAAGCTCCCTTAAACTTCTGGGATATCAAGTAAATTAATCTGCAGATCCAAGCTCCCTTAAACTCTTGGGATATTGAGTAAATTAATCTGCAGATCCAAGCTCCCTTAAACTTCTGGGATATTGAGTAAATTAATCTGCAGATCCAAGCTCCCATAAACTCATGGGATATCAAGTAAATTAATCTGCAGATCCAAGCTCCCTTAAACTCCTGGGATATCAAGTAAATTAATCTGCAGATCCAAGCTCCCTTAAACTCCTGGGATATTGAGTAAATTAATCTGCAGATCCAAGCTCCCTTAAACTCGATATCCACAATACAAGAGTTCCCAGCTAGAATGTTCAAAGGAAATGAGTCTTTGGCACGAAATTAAATTTTCTAACCCCTATATCTTTGCAACCTGGTGTGTAAACCTTTGATATTTCAAACTTTGATTTCTGTTTGATCAAATAATATTAATTTAAAATATTAAAGGTTTACACAATCAGGTTACAAAGATTTTAGGGATAATAATTTGAGTTCGTGGCAAAGACTCAATTCCTTTACATTATTTTACAATTCATTGCTTTATCAAAACCTAATCATTAGTCAACTGTTTAAGGCAAGGAGATATTGAATAGAAGGAGGGGGCGATAGGGTTTCCGTACACTTTGCTGTGACGTTTTTGGATTGCTGAAGAACTAGTTTTTGCGTAACAATAATAACAAAGACAGTCGATCTAATGTAAACAAACATGAGTTAGTATACGGTGAATCTTCATCTAACGCCAGAGATGCGCCAGATGTCTGTTTATCATTTGTGTTATTGTATTGTGTATCGCCCCCTCCTTCTGTACAATATCTCCTTGGTTTTAAGGTATACTGGCCAGGAACAAATAAACAAAAATGTACGAAAAATGCTATTTCAGTTATAAACCTTTAAGTGGAAAATTTTACTCGTTTTAACTTAATTGATTTTTTAAAACTAATTTGGTTTATTTGATTCGCATATTTTGTTTCAAATAACCAAAGAAAAAAATATTCATTTTAAGTTTTAGAAAGATAAGCTTCTCTCTTCATTGACAAAATTGCATAATATTATATTTGTAAGACCTCCAGGGGCATAGTCAGGGAGGCTTCCAGGGCTCAGCACCCGTTGGGCTCAGCACCCGTTGGGGTCTTAGCCCACATACCCCCCCCTGACAGTACACTATGCTTTGAGAAAATGAAACTTTGAAGATTTAATAAAATTTCAAGCTTTTTCATTCTTTTCTTCTTATTTTATCTTTTTCTTTTATGTATTATTCATCATATTTTTTTTGTCTGAAAAAAGTGTGTTTAGGCTCTTTAGCCTATACAACATCGTTGTATAGAAACTTTCAAGATTTAATAAAATTTCAAGCTTTTTCATTCTTTTCTTCTTATTTTATCTTTTTATTTTATGTATTATTCATCATATTTTTTTTTGTCTACAGGGTGTCTCTGAAAAAAGTGTGTTTAGGCTCTTTAGCCTATCCAACATCGTTGTATTGTGTTAAAAAGTACTCCTAGTAGGTACAATTTCCATAAATGGGGGGGGGTTGTCGATAAAATATTTTCTCTTTTTAAAAATCCTCAATTCCATCAATGAAAATGCTCAATTTATTCCATGCTGTACTATAAAACGTAAAAATTAAATCATATTTAAAATTTTTTTAATTTGTATGAAAATCTTAGGAGAAGAAACCGAGAACATTTTCGAATATTAGGGCTACTTTTGAAGGTTAAAACCAACGAGGTTATAGAATATAGAGTGATAATGTACGCTAATCATTTACTAAGTAAGTAAGTAAAGTAAAAAAATTATTTACTTATGAAATATAACGAAAACATATAAAATTAAGTGTTTCAGGAGAAAATATTTAAAAACCTCTAAAAGTAGAGCTTGTGAGAGTATATCCCGCCATTCTAAAAAAAATATAAAAATAGAAATAAAAGGAAAAGGGAAGGAAAGGATAAGGAAAGTTACATATTTATTGTTTAAACTATATTTAATATAAATTAGTGGTGGAT